GAATATTTTTCAAGGGCCAACTGAGGCGTGGATTTATTAAAGAATATTTTTCAAGGGCCAACTGAGGCGTGGATTTATTAAAGAATATTTTTCAAGGGCCAACTGAGGCGTGGATTTATTAAAGAATATTTTTCAAGGGCCAACTGAGGCGTGGATTTATTAAAGAATATTTTTCAAGGGCCAACTGAGGCGTGGATTTATTAAAGAATATTTTTCAAGGGCCAACTGAGGCGTGGATTTATTAAAGAATATTTTTCAAGGGCCAACTGAGGCGTGGATTTATTAAAGAATATTTTTCAAGGGCCAACTGAGGCGTGGATTTATTAAAGAATATTTTTCAAGGGCCAACTGAGGCGTGGATTTATTAAAGAATATTTTTCAAGGGCCAACTGAGGCGTGGATTTATTAAAGAATATTTTTCAAGGGCCAACTGAGGCGTGGATTTATTAAAGAATATTTTTCAAGGGCCAACTGAGGCGTGGATTTATTAAAGAATATTTTTCAAGGGCCAACTGAGGCGTGGATTTATTAAAGAATATTTTTCAAGGGCCAACTGAGGCGTGGATTTATTAAAGAATATTTTTCAAGGGCCAACTGAGGCGTGGATTTATTAAAGAATATTTTTCAAGGGCCAACTGAGGCGTGGATTTATTAAAGAATATTTTTCAAGGGCCAACTGAGGCGTGGATTTATTAAAGAATATTTTTCAAGGGCCAACTGAGGCGTGGATTTATTAAAGAATATTTTTCAAGGGCCAACTGAGGCGTGGATTTGTTAAAGAATATTTTTCAAGGGCCAACTGAGGCGTGGATTTTATGAGAACCCATACATATTATATGATTAACACCTCATCAGCTCCAATAAAAATTAAAACACTTTCTAACACACCTTTCCATTTTGGATGTTCTCTTTTGGGTTTGTTTTAGAAGTCCCTTTTGGTTGTTGAAATTCTACGTTGTTGGTTTTTTGGGATTGATTTTTTAGAAAATCACGTCGCGATTAATTTACATGTGAAAAAAAGTTAGCAAATTATTTTCATAAATAAAATCTCATAGCTTTTTTTCTGGACCACTTGTAAATTAATGTTGATGTTCGTCGCCCCTACGTTCACGAAACTTTGGTTGGTAAAATTCACCGGCTCGGACTATTCGAATCTTCGTCGCGGCTATTTACCATCTGCGATAATTTCTTGAGACCGCTGCAAGTTTTATAGGTATTTTTATAGCTTATGAACGGTCGGCTAGACATCGAATAGTCGTCGGCAGACAATTTAATTAGGGCTTCTTTTCGTGTTTTTCTTTTAGCCATATACAAAATATGAATATTATTCAAGGTGGCTTAAAGAAATGTCAACACAAACAACAACAACATAAAGGTGTTGACGGACAGACAGACAGTCGGACAAAAAGATTTAAATGCTGCAATTATATTAGTGTGGAAGGTGGGGTCGATTTTGAAAATAATTGTTTTTCTGGTCTAGTCGGGACATTTTTTAAAAAATATTTTCTCAGAGCCCAGTAGAGCCTAGTTTTTTAAAGAATACTTTCTCAGAGTCCACCAGTGCGTAAATTATTTAAAGAATATTTTTACAGATCCCATTATATCCTAGATTTTTAAAGAATGTTTTTCAGAGCCCATCAGAGTGCATATTTTTAAATAAGAGTTTTTCAAAGCCTATCAGATACCAGATTTTTGAAGAATTCTTTTTTTTTTAGATCCACGATTTTTAACGAATTTTTTTTGAGCCCCTAAGATCGTAGAATTTTAAAATAACATTTTTGTCATAGCCCATCAGAGCGTAGATTTTTTACAGAATATTTTTCAGAGCCCATCAGATTTTATTCCTGTAATTAGGCTCTAAGAAATATTTTCTTAGAACCCATCAGATCACAGCACAATTTTTTTAAAAAATATTTTTCAAAGTCCCTCGTGCCCATAACAAGATTTGTAACTTTGTATCTCAGGTGCTACCCTAATAAACCTCTTTCGTAGCGGTTTTTGTTTGCCAATCATCGAAGTACGCCTCAGTTGTTGTAACGCGTCGTCGACATTGTTGTTATCTTATTTTGCAAGCATTAACGTAAATTCGAATAGTTCTATCTCTTTCACCCTTTCGATCAAATCATAACTATGGACTTGGTTCATGCAAAAAGGATTTATAATCAAATACTTATACCGACGATTATGGATGATGACTGAAGAAAACATCATGGTTAACGGCAAGAGGTTCCTAGGGGAATAGTGTAAATTATTTGGTTGAGGTTCTTCAACTTGACCCTGACATAACTAAAAATAGTTGCAATGACCCTGAATATTTGTACACACACATACACATTTATATTTAGCTTAGGTTATTATTTCAACTTATTTTTCCTCATTTCTAAGCTTATTTTCATATCGATTCGTTTTCGTTTTTGCAATTCTAATTTGATTTTCGTTGACAGAATCTGTCCACAGACGTCAGAAGAACGGCGAATAAAGAAGTGTTGATATGACAGGAGAAATATTCTTAAATAATCTACTCTCTGATAAGCTTTGCAAAGAAAATAGTCTTTACAAAAAAATTTACGCTCCGATGGGCTTTGAAAAAAATAGCCTTTAAAAAATCTACGCTCCGATGGTCTTTGAAATAACAGTCTATCAAAAAATTACGCTCCAATAAGTCCTGAAAAAATATTCTTCAAAATTGTTTCACTCTAACGGATTCTGAATAAGTATTTTTTAATAAAGCTACGTCCTGATGGTATCTAAAAAGGTATTCTTAAAAATAGCTACGTCCTGATGGTATCTGAAAAGCTATTCGTTAAAAAATCACAATCTGATTGGCTCTAAAAAATGTTCTTTAAAAAATCTTCTTTTCGTGGGCCATGAAAACTCTTCTATAAAAAATCTACGCTCCGATGGACCCTGGAAAATATTCTTAATAAAATCTATCCACTGATGGGCTTTATAAAAAATAGTTTTTGGAAAAACCTACGCTCCGATGGGCCCCGAAAAAAATATTCTTTAAAAAAAATAAGCTCCGATGGGCCTTGAAAAATGTTATTTTAAAAAATCTATGCCTCGTTTGAGCCATGAACTGTCTTCTTTAAAAAATCCAATGGGCCCTGAAATCAATAAAATATTTTTTGAAATATTTACGCTCCGATTGGCCCTGAAAAAAATATTCGTAATAACATATTTTTTTAAAAAATCTACGCTGATATTCCTTAAAAATCTAAATCTACGTTCCGACTAGCCATGGGACCTCTGACGGGCCCTGAAAAAATATTCGTAATAAAATATATTGAAAAATCTACGCTTCAATGGGCTCTGAAAAAATATTCGTAATAAAATATTTTTTGAAAAATCTACTTTCCAATGGGCCTTGAAAATGTTCTTTTAAAAAAATCTACGCTCCGATAAGCCTTGAAAAATGTTATTTTAATAAAATCTACGCTCCCATGGGCTTTGAAAATTTTCTTTTAAAAAATCTACGCAACGATGGGCCTTAAAAATGTTCTTTTAAAAAAGCTACGCTCCGATGGACCTTGAAATTGTTCCTTTTAAAAAATCTACACTCCGATGGGCCTTAAAAGTGTTCCTTTAAAAAAATGTACGCTCCGATGGGCCGTGAAAAAAATATTCGTAATCAAATCTAAGCTACGATGGGCCCTGGAATAATATTCGTATTCAAATCTACGCTCTGATGGGCTCTAAAAGAAATATTTTGTTTTTAAATCTACGCTCCGATGGGCCCTGAAAAAAAATATTCATAACAAAATATTTTTCAAAAGAAGCTACCTTATGATGGGCTCGGAAAAAATAAAAAAATATTCGTAATAATGTATTTTTTAAAAGAATCTACGCTTTGAAAAAATATTCCTTTAAAAATCTACGCTCAGACTAGAAATGAAAGGAAAATATTCTTTAAAAAATCGACGCTTAGACTAGCCTTGAAAAATATCCTTTAAAAAATCTACGCTTGGACTAACCGTGAAACAAATATCCTTTAAAAAATCTCTCTAGAAAAAATATTCTTCGAAAAATGTACGCTCATATAAAAATTTACGTTCTAAAGGGTTCTGAACAAAATTTTTAATAAAATCTACGCTCTGACTAGCCTTGAAAAAATGTTCTGATGCGTTCTGAACAATTATTCTTTAAAAGTCCACGCTCTGATGGGTCCCAAAGAAACATGATTTAATGAAATCATCTACCTCTGCGTATCCTTGAAAAAATATTCGTTAAAAATCTATGCTGTGACTAGACCTTTAAACTCCTTTAATCTACGCTCTGATGCGCTCCTAAATAATATTCTTTAAAAAGTCTACGTTATGACTAGACCTTAAAAAATATTTCTTTGAGAATCTACGCCATGACTAGTGGTGAAAAAATATGCTTAAAAATGTAAATCCTGAAAAGTATTCTTTAAAAAATCCACGCTCTGGTAGGCTTTGAAAATGAATTTTCATGGAGGTCGTCATTCGAGCCCAGAAGACCTATTGTATGCTTATTAGACTTCTTCTAGCCACAAAAGATCTCTTCTGGCCACAGAACACATCTTCTAGCAATATTAGACCTTTCCTGTCCCTAGAAGACTTCTTTCATCCAAAGAAGTCATCTTCTGTCTATAGAAAATCTCTTCTAGCCTTTGAATACCTCTTCCATCGATAGAAAACCTCTTCTAGTCATTGCAGACTAGGCATAGAAACCCTTTTCTATCCATAGAAGACCTCTTCTATCCACTGAAGTCCTCTCCTATCTATAGATACTTCTTCTAGCCACAGAAGATATCTTCTACTTCTTATATCCTAGAAAATCTCTTCTAGCCACTGAAGACCTGTTCTAACCACAGAAGGCCTCTTATTTACCTAGATAACTTTTGCTGACACTGCATTTTGAAAAAAAAAATTTTGTAAAAATAATTCCTTTATTATTTAAGGCCTGGGAAATTGTATATTTTAATCCGAACCCTTAGAGACAGCCCATCAAACTGCAAGACGTTTTTTTCTATCCATTTAAGCCTTCGTTTCAGTTGTGGTAGTCTGTGAGGAAACATCATTTGCCTTGGTCTTCTCCACACTGCCAAACACGAAGCAAGGACATTTTTCCTTTAAAGCAGCACGATACTTTGGATGGCTGGAAAAAGAAAGCAGAATCATTATCACAACATAGGCAGGAACATTTCTTTCTTCCCAATCTCACCTGATACCATAGACAATGGGATTATAACAAGCTGCGGATTTGGCAAAACAGGCACCCCAAATCGTATTCAATGGCGTCAGACCCTCATATTTAAATAAACCCAATGTGTTGATCACCTGATATGGAGTCCAGGCCACAAACCACAAGGAGATCGTAACCAATGCCACGATGGCCAATTTACCCTCGGCAGATTTTTCATCATCATCGGAGGTCCGCAACGATTTAACATTCATCTTTTTGGCTTGCTCACGCATTGCCTTCTCATGGGCCGAGACAGCCTGGGGTTGAAGAAAAAGGGAGTTTTGAGTTTTAAAATGATATCAAATGATTGGAAAATACCTACCGCAATAATATACCAATATGAGTAGCAGATCAAGAACAATGGTATATAGTAGACAAATATGGTGTAGCACATCAAATAACTTCGTGAATTCCAGGAACGATCCAAATAATCTATGCCGCATGAGATTAAGTTGCCCTCGGGTACATATCTGATGAGAAGAAAGAGGTGAGATAATCGGATGATATGGAAAAGAAACAGAAGTCATATTCTGGCCTCAGAAAACCTCTTGTAGCCCTTCGATGCATCATCTCATCATTTAAGACTTTTGGAATATCTCTTTTAACAATGGAAAATCGCTTGTATACACAAAAGACTTCCGATAGCCGGAAGACACAGAAGACTTCTGATAGCCAAAGAAGACTATTTGCCGAAGAAAACTACTTTCTAGCCACAAAAGTTATTCACATTTTCACAGAAGATCTCTTCTTTTTATAGGAAACCTCTTGTATCCTCAGAAAGCCTTTTCTATCCATGAAATACCTCTTATATAAATAGAAGAAATTTTATGTCTTTAGACCTTTTCTGCCCATATCTTCTACTGGCAGAATATCTCTTCTAGGCATAGATCACCTCTTCTATCCATTGAAGAAATTATTCTAGACCTCATCTAACTATAGATGACATATATTATTCAAAAAAGAACTCCGTAGGACCTTTTCTAGCCATATAAGACCTTTTCCAACTATCGAAGACCTTTTCTATTCATTCTCTAGACCTCTTCCAGCCATATTATATGCTTTATAGAATGTTTCCTCCACTAAGGGCTTGTAATGTCTACATATTCTTCGAAGACCTCTTCTAGCCAGAAATTACATCTTCCAGTTATAAAAGACATATTTCACTTTCAGAACACCTTTTCTAGCCATAGTTCTTCTAGCCATCTATTATATGAATAGTATACTTCTTCTAGTCACAAAATATATCTTCTGGTCTTAGAACACCTCTTCTAGCCACACAAGAATTTTTCTGTCCCTCGAATTTTTTTTCCAATCATAGAAGGTCTCTTTTAATCATTGAATGCAAGGCTAGGCACTCAAGTACACCTCTTCTAATTCTAAAATACCTCTTTTATCCACAAAAGATTTCTTGTATCCATAGACAACCTCTCCTATCCCTTGAAGACCTCTTATATCCCTTGAAGATATCTTCTATTCATAGAAGACCTCTTCCCTTGAAGATCTCTTCCATCCCTTGAAGACATCTTCTGTTCCTAGAAGACCTCTTCTATCCCTTGAAGACCACTTCTATCCCTTGAAGAACTCTTTTATTCATAGAAGACTTCTTCTATCCCTTGAAGACCTCTTCTACCACTTGAAGACCTCTTCTATTCCTAGAAGACCTCTTATATCGCTTGAAGACCACTTCTATCCCTTGAAGACCTCTTCTATACCTTGAAGACCTCTTCTATCCTTTGAAGACTTCTTCTATTCATAGAAGACCTCTTCTGTCCCTAGATGACTTTTCTATCCCTTGAAGACCTCTTCTATCCCTTGAAGACCTCTTGTACCCCTTGAAGACCTCTTCTATCCTATAAAGACCTCTCCTATTCATAGAAGACTTCTTCTACCCCATGACGACCTTTTCTATCCCTTGAAGACCTCTTCTATCCCTTGAGGACCTCTTCTATCCCTTGAAGTTCTCTTCTATTCCTGGAAGACCTCTTCTATCCCTTGAATATCTCTTCTGTTCCTAGAAGACCTCTTCTATCCCTTGAAGACCTCGTCTATCCCTTGAAGAACTCTTCTATTCCTAGAAGACCTCTTCTATTCATAGAATACCTCTTCTATCTCTTGAAGACCTCTTCTATCCCTTGAATACCTCTCTATCCCTTGAAGACCTCTTCTATTCATAGAATACTTCTTCTATTCCTTGAAGACCTCTTCTATTAATAGAATACCTCTTCTATCCCTTGAATACCTCTTCTATTAATAGAAGACCTCTTCTATCCCTTGAATACCTCTTCTATCCCTTGAAGACCTCTTCTATCCCTTGAATACCTCTCTATCCCTTGAAGACCTCTTCTATTCATAGAATACTTCTTCTATTCCTTGAAGACCTCTTCTATTAATAGAATACCTCTTCTATCCCTTGAATATTTCTTTTATCCCTTGAAGACCTCTTCTATCCCTTGAAGACCTCTTCTATCCCTTGAATACGTCTTCTATCCGTTGAAGACCTCTTCTATCCCTTGAAGACCTCTTCTATCCATTAAAGACCCCCTCTATTCATAGAATACCTCTTCTATCCGTTGAATACCTCTTCTGTCCCTTGAAGATCTCTTCTATTCCTGGAAGACTTCTTCTATCCCTTGAATACCTCTTCTGCTCCTAGAAAACCACTTCTATCCCTTGAAGACCTTTTCTATCCCTTGAAGACCTCTTCTATCCCTTGAGGACCTCTTCTATCCCTTGAAATTTGAAGACCTCTCTATCCCTTGAATATCTCTTCTGTTCTAGAAGACCTATTCTATCCCTTGAAGACCTCGTCTATCCCTTGAAGAACTCATCTATCCCCAGACTAGTTTTTATTTCCTTAGCAGAATACCTTTAGTAACTCTAGAATACTACCTCTTTTTTTAGCAGGATGACTCATCTATCCCTAGAAGACCTATTCTATTCTTAGAATAATTCTTCTTTCCTTAGCAAAGACCTCATGTACCCTTTAAAACCTCACTTATTTCTAGAGGATGTCTTATATCACTAGAAATCTTATCTCTAAAAGACCTATTCTACTCATGGAAGACCTCTTCTACCCTTAGAGTAACTCTTCTATCCTTAGAATTTTTTTTCTTTCTCAGAAATTTCCTAGCAGATTGAACTCCTGCTTCCACTCACCTACTCCATCCAAAAACGGGTGCCACAGTCCATACACTTGCCAAAGACCAGATGAATAGGATCTTAATTATCGCCCACTTTATGGTCATCGGATGTCCAGCCATACCCTTCACAATGACATTATAACGATCCAACGATATCATACACATTGACCATATTGAACTGCAACCGAATGCCGAACCCAATCCGGCATAAACATCACACATCATTGGTCCCAAAATCCAAGTGCGATAATATAAATTAATACCCATCATCGGTGTGTTCAACAGCATCATTCCAAAATCGGATAGGGCCAAATTAATGATCAACAAATTGGCTGGTGTGCGAAGAGATTTTGTTGTGGAGAAAATGTAGATGACAACGCCATTACCACACCACGATATTATGCCTATGGCTAGCATATACAAAGTCAACAAATTATACCACATCCGATCCATGGGAGGAAATTGATTCCAATAGGGATTTATTAGGTGGGCCATGTCGGGTGTTACCTGAAATATATTCAAATGAATTTTAAATGGTCCTCAATAATAGTTTGATTCACCTTACATTATCAGTTACTGAAAAATTCAGCCGCGCTACCGATATTGATGGTCCAAAGGGCGTGCCAGAAAACGTTTCCAGACTGTGAAAGGAAGGTATTCAAATTATTCAATCCTGTTAATTTTTATTTTTTATATCCTTACCTCTCCATTTTTTTGATCAATCTTTAGTTTGAATCGTTATCTTGAATCTATGGCCGTGCTAGACCTGAAACTATATCTCTGGCCAGCCACAAGTTTTATAGGCTTCTATTTGGTGGAATGTTTGCTGCAATGTTTGCCAATTTTTATGAAAATTAAATTATGTTTGTTCGAATCTGTCCCACCCTTCGATGACTGCGAAGTGCAACATAAACAACACTATTAGTGCTGGATAGAGATGACAAATGAGATTTTGAGAATAGGTATTTTTTGATCAGAAGAGGTCAGCCGTGGATAGAATGGACGACATATAAAGAAGTGACCATCGGCCTATGACCATCAATTTATGGATGAATGACAATATATATATCCTACTAATAGAAGGGTCTTTACTGGACATACGAAGTATTCTATGAATAGAAGGGCCATATATAAATATTAGTAGAGACTATTATGTTCATCTTTTCTATATAAAGAAGAGTTCTTCAATGATCAGAGTAGGTCTTATGTGGGTAGAAGAGGTCGTTTAGGAATAGAAGAGGTCTCCAATGGAGGTAAGAGGTCATTTATGCCCAATGGACAGTGGAGATATTCTATGGACAGAAAAAGTCTTTCAAGGCCGAAAAGGCTTTATGTAGATAGAAGATGTATTCTATGAATCAAAGAGAGAGTCCTCAATGGACATAAGAGGTCTTCTTTTCTATGGCCAGAACAAGCATTCAGTGGCATCCAAGCATCCATGCCAAGAAAAGGCATTCTATGGATGGAAGATGGCTTTAAGGGCTATAAGAAGAAGTCTGCTAGAGACAAAAATATTGCTAGAAGTGGCCTTCTGTGACGATTTAAGCATGTCCTCTTACTGTAGCATTCCTTGGGGAGTTGCCAATTTCCTACTAGGCGCGTCTTCCCGGGTGGCGTATGGGAAGGGGTCTCCATTATGTACAGAGTAGAACTGACCCAGGTCAACTTTTCTCTGCACTTCGTGGAAACCTTGGGGATCTTTGAATCCCCCGTGGACCAAAAGGGATCGGGGTAGTTCCCTTACGGTGTAGGGAGATAATAAACCATTACAGGCGGCAATCGTTGGTGAGGTCACAAGCCACGTGTCGTCGAGTTCAAGCGATTGTGATCCGGCTGTTCTAGGTGTGGATGCCTTGACACCTGCAGCTGTATCTGTTACAAGTGCATCAATTTCAAATCCGAACGTTGACGAACCGGCTATTCTTTTGGCAAACGAGCAGGTCAAGACTGATGAAAATCAGTCTCTGGCTGACAGGACTATAGTTTTGGGAGGGGACGACCTACACGGGGCTCTAAATGCTATCCGCGATAGTCTAGAGGAGCAAAGTAAGGAAATCTTCGACCAGTTAGACAGACTGGTACCGGAAGAGCAATGTGGAGGAACTGCTACTGAATCTCACCCTAACTGGTGATGAACTGGACACCACGGTGATCCCAGCCATGTCTATACAGGGGGATTGTTGTAGCATTAACGAAGAAAGCGCAGACCCTGTTGACCGACCGACTTCAAGTCTGACTACAACAGGTCCTGTGTCGGCACTTGCCGACAATAAACTTCAGAGGCTATCTGCGACGGAGGCGATGTCCGACGATGGGGGATCTGTCGAGACCCCAGCAACGGACAACGGCTCAAATGTTGGGTAGGCCCGAGAAGTACATGATGCGAAACACTACAAACGTGCTGTTTCGTATCTCCGCAAATTCGTGGGGCGAGAAGCGAATTTGATTTCGGAGAGGGAGGCTCACCTCATCAAGGGAAAGATGAGATTCGTAAGGAAGTTCGAACGAATTTATTCGCACGCTCTCCATCGTGAACTCCAAATGGACAGGAGCTGCCTCTAGAATCCTACTGCTCACATAAAAGTAGTGGAATCGGCGAAGCCGACTGTCTCTGGCAAAGGTGCTAAGCCGACTTCTGATCAAAAGCCTAGTTCGAAGCCTAACCCTAGTCAAAAGGCAAAGGAAAAGGCTAGTGTCACCCATAAGGGTGAAAGCAAATGCCGCCCCACAGCGCAAATCTGTGAAGCGCATCCGCTCTTCAGAAGGTCCGCTACCTTCACCGAAGAAGACGATGACTTCGCGTCTGGCTGACCCACCTACCTCATATGCGGCTGTCGCTGGAAAGGCAAACTCCAAAGTTCGTACCTAGAGACAGCGTAAGCCATATGAAAGATCGACCAAGGTAGCTGCTGACGAAGACCTTCAAGTGGCAATCATTGACAGGATTAGTGATAGTCATTGGTTGGTCTTTGAAGGATCCCTTCGGTTGGTGGGTCGGAACATGGGCTTTGTCAGTTTGTCAGTGCCTTCATGCAGAATGTTGCCAAAGTCATCAACTGCTTGAACAGGAAATCTAAAGATTTCCTCGTTAAAACTGTTGGCGGCTCTGGGAAGGAGCCAACCTTGCTGCGGTCTCCCTATCCGAGATCCCAACCAGACGGGTCCTCTCAGCCTGGGTTCTCCCACCTTCAGTGGACAAGGTACTACTGCTGAAAATGTTGGCGCTGAAAAATTCCAGCCTCACTACATCGAGCTGGACTGTTGTCAGTTTAGCTCCTTGTAACGAGGATGGAGGGATGGTTGCAAGGGCAACTGCTACCCTTGCGACCGGGGGAGTCATATCTCAGGGAGCGTGAGGGAAAATTGAACTTCGGTTCTGGATGGGTTCGGTTTCGACTGAAAACATCCACCGAAACTCAATAGGAGTAGGGTAGCGTCAAAGGCTGCGTATCCTGCAGATTAATCTGCATCATTGCAAGGCCGCAGCCGCCGAACTACTCCTGTCCCTCACGAACTCTAAAGAGGACATTGCCTTGGTTCAGGAGTCATATATTTATAAAAATATGATTTCTGGATTAAGAAATCCCAACTTCGACATATTCGCGGCGTCCATGGGGGACAAGGTGAGGACCTGTATAGTAGGTAAAGAAAGTTTTAATCTAATTTTTCTATCTAGTTACAGCAACGGTGACATGTGCACAGTAAGGCTGGAGCATTCGACTGGGATGTCCACTCTCCTCAGTCTACATGCCTTTTGAGGAACTGGATCCACCAAACACTAGTGACCCCCATTTTACGATATTTTGTGGTTCTGAGCGCGTTTTTCAACTGAATTCCCTGAAATTTGGTACATTGAGTTATTATTATGTAGCAAATCTCCCCACAAAATCTTATAAATATCGGTCCATTTTTTTCGGGTAGCCCTCATATAAGGATGCCCCTAATATTCGGTATTTTGGGGTTCTTGAGGGCGGTTTTTAACCAAATTCGCTGTAATTTGGTATTTTGAAGTCGTGTGTGGTATCAAATCTCCCACCCAAAAATTGTTAATATTCGCCCACTTCTAGGGGTAGTCCTCATATAATAGAAGACTTTTAAAAAGGGTGAAAATGCCGTATTAACCTCTTTCTGATCAATAAATCAAATAAATCTCGTTTTGAAATCCCTTTATTTTTGCCATTATTAATAATGTTTTGAACTCTATATTGGTGGCATGCAACACATGTGTATAACACTTTTATTATTTGTATACAAATATTTGTTACCTACTCAAGGTAATTAAAGTAGATCAATGTCTCAAAGGAGGTGGTATGATAATTTCAACAAATTTAAAAATATTAACCTAGATTTAAAGAAAACATTAAATGGGATTGAACCTCGAAAAGGACAGTATGACATTTCACCCATAAATAAACCCTTCTGTTATAATCGATTTTTTTTTTAATAATTTTCGGCTTGTTTGTGACGCAGCAAAAAGTTGGATACCCAGATTATGTTTAGCGATTAAATAGGTATTTCATAATTGAATGGAAATGGAATCGGTTTGGTGTGAAAGTAATTATTAGACACAGTCTTGCCCTTCTCTTCAAATAAACTTAACTAGCATCCTCAATATATTTTATACGTTAATTACCATACTATCCTCTGTTGCCATTTTTAAAATATTTAAAAGGTTTCTTTAGCCCATACCGAAAAAATAACCATTCAACTGGCCAAACAAACAAAAGAATATCAAGCTCTTGATGTAATCGCACAGACATCAGCAGTTAAACGCCTGTAGTATTTAGCGATGACATAGGCCTACTTTGCTGACAATGGACAGTCAACAGTTCTGCTTTGTTTTTCTTCGCTCTTATTCTTTGAGGAGGAAAATTTTAATATGTTAAGGAAAATAAGGTGTCAATATCGATTTTTTGTTAGACGATGTCTAAGTAAAATATAAAAGGGGGAAATGCGAATGTAGCTGGTGAAAGGCGTAATATTAATAATATTATATGTAAAATAAATTAAGAGTAAAATGGTATCATCTGAAATCTTTATTTATTCCCAAAATAGCACTAAAAGCCATATTGTGCATCCGACCTCTTTAAAATGTAGTATGGTACCTCCCGTTCAAATTAGAATCACGGCAAAAATAACAGAAACAAGCGTCGGCAAAAATAATAGAAACAAGCTAGAAAAGGCGGGTTTATATAATTAGCATTTAAAATGTAAATACATATTTCGCTTAATTCCATTTCTTGTTCCCTAACAAAATTATTTTCTATATCGGTTTTGGTGATACATGACAGGTACGTATATTTTCCCCATTTCGAGTTTGGGAATCCACGTTTTTGACGAGAAGACCAAGCTGACGTCCAGTAGACTCGGACCAACTGATGAACTTGAAAACTACAGTTTCGAAGTATCAATTTTCTATACCTCGGTACCGCCATAAATAAAACAAATGACATCAGTTTTGAAATTCTGAGGAGGACAGTTCTGGCCATCAGAAGAGGTCAAAGACACTCTACAAGACGCTGATACTACCCCTGCTGGTGTATGGATCAGAAGCATGGGTACTTGCACAAACAGATGAGGCATCCTTAGAGTGTTTGAGAGAAAAATTCTCCGAAAGATCTTCGGACCGATCTGCGTCGACGGTGAATATCGGCGCCGAATGAACCACGAGCTTTACCATCTATACAAGGACATCGACATAGTCACTCGTATCAAACTGCAGCGACTAAGGTGGATAGGCCATGGATGAATATCCCAGCTCAAAATCAGGGTGCGCAAAATTCGCTCACGAATGAATTAAAATACATTCTTTCCGTTTTGTGTTCATTTTACGAATGAATTTATGGCGATAAATTCTTTACCAAACGAGCATTCGTCAAAGAATGTGCGCACATACATAACAAACGAGTAAGAGCACACAAAAACGATCATTCGTTTCGTTTGGTGGCTGAATTTTTTTCTGACATTCTCTCACGAATGAAAACAAACATTCACAAATTCTCGCGAATGCTCAAAACAGCAACAACAATAGCAACAAATGTTCGTGAACTCAATTGTTATTGGACATGTGTTTTGTTATTCCACACACTTTGTGCTACTCACACCTTCATTGTTGTGTGAGTTTACTTTTTTATGATATTTTTGTTTGGGATTGTTTTTGACAGTGCTCGCGAGCGAACATTTTTTTTTTTATTTTTTCAAAAGAATGTTCTTCGGCAACAAATGCTCGCGAACGAATCGACGACGCTTGCAATTGACAAAATTTAATCGTTCGTGAATTTTTCGTACAATGCGAACATTCGAGAGAACAAATGCTTGTTAATTCATTGTAAATTTATCATTCGCGATAAATTGAAAAACAATCGAATTCTTGCCGTGAGCATTTGTGAGAAAGAGTGTATTATAATCATTCTCCGCACCCTGCTCAAAAGGTATATAAAAGCAAAGGGAAGCACACGAATTTGATGGAAAGATGAAGGCATTGTCGTCAAATTGAAAGAACAGCGCACGAGATCAACGCTCTTGGAAATATCTTTTATGTTCGGCTTATGGAACAAATGTTCTGAAACGATTTTTATTATTCTAAAGACCGCTATAAGAGTAAACGTGTGTATGAGCACTATGTCTTAAAACTTGGGGAAATGTGTTCGCTATAAACAAACTCAAAAACTGGCCATTGGGCCTATAGTGCATTGTTGGGAATAATTAATCTAAATATCTTCACAAATCCATATTTTAATATTGTACTTATATTAATTACACTGTGCAGCGCTAAACTTTTGAACTAATCCGGACTGCCAAAATCTGAATGTTCCTAGAAAATAGTATTTTATGGTATGGTATTTAAAACGCATGCTATTTCCTTTCATCATGCAATTGTTTCATTTTTGTGACTTTGACTTGTGAGGCTTGAACATGTGAAAGAGGCATCCAATCCAAACGGGTGTTTAAGAAGGGTTATTTTCTGACATCAGCTTTGACATTTTTTTTTGACAGATGTTTTGGGTATGATGTTGTTTTATGGAATTTATATCAAAGCAAAATTTGTAGATTTTATTAAGGGATAAAACATTGCTAAAGGGTGCAGATAAATATTTCGAGTAGTTCACGTGATAAGCGTCATTTTTTTTTTTTTTTTTTTTGAAAATCCACCCCATTCAACAAAATTACAATTACGGGTTTAAACAAAAACCTTAGCTATAATTTAAAACCAAGATATGTTTTTTCTTCTATCATCATAAGCATTAAGATTTTAAAATTTTTGCGGTCCCGATAGGTTCAAGATTTTAAAGTTGAAACACGTGTCATAGTGTTATTAATAATTGCAATATTTATTCATTTTCAATTTCAATAACGGGATTTGTCAGTATGTAATTGAAAATGTTATGTTATGTCACAACTCAATTTATTTATTTGTAAATAATTCATTTCGATGCTAACGCTTTTTCAACTAATTGCCTATCTAATTTTAAACCAGACAACGCCCCCTAAAAACCAATCAAATACATTGTAATCGTTCGTCCTACTATATTTAGCCACCTTTATTTACATGGTGCGTCATTAGTCGGTTAAGCGATTGATTGAATTGGTTAAGTCACCTAAAAATTAATTTGTCAATTAATGAAACAAACACAAGCAGATGTTTTAGCGATTGCCACTAGATTTTCTTGTAATCGGACGATGTAATTATTCGAATTCTATTTCTCTGACGGATACCTGTTTTAAGTAGTTCAAAGGCGGATTATCTGCACTCAAGTGTCACAATGACATGTGGTGAAGAGCAAGGGATAAGGTAATAAATGTAGGGGAAATAGAGGGATTTTTTATCGAAATCGGATATTGAATTCAACATTAAAAATTATTGACTATAAATTTAAATGAGCAGAAATGTTATTTTTGTTGTTCAGGGAAAGAAAGATAAACAATAAATATCGTTGCATACTTTTAGGCGGTATTTTTGATTATAATGCACAGCACAATGGGGTGAAATTATTTGTTTTGCATTTACAGGTAAAAAAAATATATATAAATTATTCTATTGTATGGAGATTGTATTGTAATATTTATGCATAATTTTGAAATAAGTTAAATATTATATTAGAAATTAAATATACGGGCATGTTCTTGCATTCACTTAAACGGTAGAAGTGTATCGAACATACTTAGTAGACATTAGAGTTTGAAAATGCTTCGTAGGGACGTTTGTCTCTAGTAGATCTTCAGGAGGCATTTTGTCCTTAGAACACCTTATGTTAATATTCAATCTTCAGCTCTCCTGTTGATTACTTTCCAAAATATAAATAAATAATAGAAAGTTTTCCGAAGCGTTCTTTCATTCTGTACTTAGAAAACAAACATTAGGGATCATCGGCCTATTGTTTCCATAACCTCTCCCGTCTATAGGAAACCTACGGACGTCAATCTTTCAAAATGGCCATTTAAGAGGATGAGGGCATCCGTGGGTAACTTTCAGGATCGCATGAAAAAGTTACAAGTTTATTCTAATTTATTCAAATTGATTTTTAAAGTCATGTTCGGTCAATGAACGGGAAGATCTAGATGAACGATTAGATCAAAAATAACTAGGTGAAGGAGATCAAAATTGAACACAGGAGCAAAATGAACTAGATGAACAATAGAATCGATCCTAGTACCGATGGTTTCTTTTGCGGAAAATTTCATTCGATCCAAGAAACCAAAAAGGGCTTATATACATAACCTTCAGTAGGTACTTTATTATATATATCACCTTCAGGATGGCATGAAAATTTTCACAATTTTTTTTTTTTGCAAATTGATTTTTAAAGTCACGTTCGATTAATGAATGTGATGATGTAGATGAACGAGAGGATCAAAATGTGAAGGAGAGTAAAAACGAACGAAACTAGATGAACGATAAAATCGAACCTAACATCGGTCGTTCCTTTTGCAGAATAGTTCATTCGATCTTATTCCTTACGAAACGACCTAATCCGATCTAAAAATCAAGAGGGCTCCTGTACATAACCTTCAGTAGGTACTTCGTCAATATCGGTCGAAATTTTTTATAATTGAATTCCATTTTTGTTTGGAAATTGATTTTTTAAGTTAAGTTCGATTAATGAACGGGAAGATCTAAGTGAACGAGTAGATCAAAAGGAACTAGGTGAACGAGAGCAAAAACGGACAACTGGAGCAAAAGGAACTAGATGAACAAAAGAATCGGGCCTAAAACCGATGGCTCCTTTTCAGAATAGTTTTATTGAACTAGTTCGTAACGGAACGACTCAATGCATGTTCGATTAGCTGTCAAAGTGCATAGTTTCGACGTTGCCAACCATAAGAAATGTTACTACATAAAATTTGACAGATGACCGAAACAGATGTTTTTGTTTTGATACATCACCCTATTATTGCATCATGAATACACTGTAGTGTCAACGGTTTAGAACTCTAAGTAGTCTGATAATATTTGTGTTGTTCTGGGAACCTAGGTTCGAATCCTATGCTAGCTCAGTATGTTATATTTTTTTTGTGTTAGGGCAAAGATCATTGCTGTGGTTATAGTTTATTCCTCTCTTTCAAGTTGAGTTTTATACAAAGAGAAATTCACAAATCCTAAGAGACTCTGGTAATTTTTCAAGGTCTCGCCGACCTTTGTTTGTTATCTCTACAAGGTTTACGGATTTCCAATGATTTTCTAGATAATTTATCAAATATCTATACAATATACCTAAAATACATAAACCTATTTTAAAGTGATGTTTTTTTTTTTAATATTATACTTTATTAAATACTTAAGATTTTTTTATATTTTTATTAACATTTCTTTAATAAAAATCTTTGGTTTGTTTTTCATATTCTCTTTTTTTGTATGTGTGTACTTCAAAAAAAGGAAATCGTCACTTTTATATATATAGTCATATTATAAAATTGATTTTAAAATTAAGGGGGGGAATTTTCAATGGGGATTTTTAAGGATAAGGGAGGATATTTAAATATTAACATTATAAGTTAAAGAAAAAAAAAATAATAAACAAGGGCAGGAGTACTAACAAAACAAAAAATAATAATTATAATAATTTTTTAAAAATACTACAAATTAAAAAATAACTGAATGGTTATAAATTAGGAAAATAAAATAGATTAAAAAATTAAATACATTATTTTGTTCGTTGTAATTTCATTTGTTGTTTTGTTTTTTTTTTTTTTTTGTAATTTAGAGGAAATTTTGTAATTTCATTTGTTATTTTGTAATTTGTTTTATTATATAATATAGAGGAAGTTTTGAACTATATAATTCTATGAATAGCAAGGTATTAAGGTTAAGTGTTTGGTGTTTTTTTTTTAATTTTAAATTAAATTTAGTATACAAAAAATAAGGAAGGAAGGAAAGAAAGAAAAAAAATAAATTACATCTATGTATATACTTTTTTTGTTCTTGTAGTTAATTTTTTTTGTGTGGTTCATGTTCTCATTTATAAAGGTATAAAAAGTAGTTGTTTTGTTTTATATAATAGATAATAATTAAATAAATATGTATGTATATAAATTAGTTAATAAGCTTCCTTGTGAAGAAAAATAAGAAAACGATTGATTCTCCTCAATCATTCTCCTCGGTTATTAATAGTTCATATTCCTGGGCGGCAAAACGATCCCAATCGGATGTCTGGAAAATAAGAAAATGGAAAAATAACATTTAAAATATATTCAAAGTAATATTGAAAAACTAATAACAATTACAAAAAGGGTATGCCAATTATTGTTACTCACATATTCATCTCTTTGCGAGGCAAATGGATCGCGCTGTTCATGATCCAAATATTTCTCCAAATTAAAGAAGGTATCAAAGAACACATGAGTCATTTTGCAATTTTTCAAATCACCCAATGTTATAGCATCCCGTCGCTTGGGTTTAATCATGTCCAGCATCTGAAAAAAAGAATAAGTGAATGTTACGGATAAAAATTGAATTAAATGAATTAAAATTGTAAATGGCGCCCAAATCGAGGTTGAAATGTTTTTTCTTTTCTTAAATTTTTTATTCTTTTGAAAATGGATTCAAAGATTAGGCATACAATTTCTTGTTCTCTAGATGAACCCGTATAAAATATCTTCTTAGATCAACTCCAGAAAATTAAATTTCCATTCCAAAGATCTGGGATTCCTTTTCTAACTTAATAATTCAATTATAATACTTTTGTTGCGAAAGGACACAATTGGAAAAAATTAATATAAAGGCTCAATAAAAACTATAAATGGCGCCCAATATAGATCTTGAGTTTAAAATTAAGGTTCGATTAAGGTCAGATTGAATTCACAGATTAATAACATCACATTAGAAATCTTGAAAAACTGTAATTTCAGTTTAAAAAAAAATTGGATATCAACTTAAAACGTAATTTAATGTGTCGATTACGGATGGCAACCACAGTTTTGTGACGTTGCCAGTTGCCAAATTTGCATTATGGATGGCAACTGTTGTCAACTTCAGTTGCTTGAAATAGATTTTTTCGGCAACCATTTATTTCTGGTTGCTGTTTATAATAACTGAACTTTATAGGCTTCCTATAATGGCTAATATTACTACAAAAGACAAATTTGAGGTCCATATTGCCCGGATGGAACCTCACCAAATGTAGCACGCGGTGTGCCGACTTTTGGTCAAACCAAAGCCACTATTGATGATGTGTGGAAGGCCATTTCAGAAGACCTTAACTGCTATGGCCCACCAACAAGCATTCCAAATGAATGGCAGAAAGTGGCGAAAATCTTCTTTTGGGTCCATGATATGTACGTGTGTATCATCAATACATCCAATTACGTTACCAGTTGAACTCGCAACTGGAGTTTGGTTGCTTTCCATAATCGACCCATAAATAAATTTAAATGTCCACATAACAAACCAAGGGTTGTTCTGGTGCAATGGCGCCCAATGTAGAAACTGAGTTTAAAACTGAATAAAATAAGGGTCACAATTCAACATCAGAACTTTAAAATTTAACCATTTTCGATTAAACAGAAGCAGAACTCACAGATGATATGAGATGAAGGTCAGATCGAAGTCTCTAAGCACTAAATTTCAAGAATCTCATATCACATCACACTAAAAGGCCTAGATCAACGATCTAATTTCAGTTTGGAAATTTTCGATGTGATGGCGCCCAACACAAACCCGTGATTTCGATTTTAAATAAATCTAAATGCCCAGATAACAAAACAATGAAGATTTGAACCGTGGTTACTATGGCCCCAGGAAATATACTATTGTAAGTTGTATTGAAAAAAAAACAACAAGATGGCGCCCAATTTAGGGCCTGAGTTTAAAATTGAATAAAATTAGGGTCATAATCCACCATTAGAACATCTAAATTTAACCACTTTCGGATTAAAAGGAAGCAAAGCTCACAGATGATATGCGATGGAGGTCAGATCGAAGTCTCTAAACGATAATTTTCATGTATCTCTGACTTTCTTTTTTATTACAACATCGATGAAGTAGCTTATCTGGAAAAAGAAATGTGAAAAAGAACTGAAAGAATCTCAGATTACATCACACTAAAAGGCCTAGATCGACGATCTAATTTTAGTTTGGAAATTTTCGATGTAATGGCGCCCAACGTGATTTCGAGTTTAAATAAATCTAAATGTCCAGATACCAAAACAATGAGGATTTAAACTGTGGTTACCATGGCCCCAGGGAATAAACTATTGTAGGTTGTATTGAAAAAAACATTTCGTATCTACAAGATGGCGCCCAATTTAGGTCCTCAGTTTAAAATTGAATAAAATTTCGAATTAAAAAAAGCTAAACTCACAGATGATATGGGATGGAGGTCAGATCGAACAATAAATTCCAAAAATGTTAGATCAGATCACACTAAAAGGCCTAGATCGACGATCAGTCAACTGTAATCTAAGTTTGAAAATCTTCTATGTGATGGCGCCCAACACAAAAGCATTAATTCGTGGTGGTCGGTATATATCTCTGACTTTATTTTTCATTACAACTTCGATCAAGCTTATCTGTGCATAAGTGTGAAAAAGAACTGAAAGAATCTCAGATTACATCACACTAAAAGGCCTAGATCAACGATCTAATTTCAGTTTGGAAATTTTCGATGTGGTGGCGCCCATCGTGATTTCAAGTTTAAATAAATCTGAATGCCCAGATAACAAAACAATGGGGATTTGTATCGTGGTTACTACGGCTCCAGGGAATAAACTATTGTAGGTTATATGGAAAAAAATACATTTCGTATCTATAAGATGGCGCCCAATTTAGGGCCTGAGTTTAAAATTGAATAAAATCAGGGTCACCAGCCGAACTATTCAAGACTGGTGGTCAGATGCTGGTCAGGAGCATGCACCAGCTGATTAGTACACATTGGCTAGAGGAATGGATGCGCAATGATTGGAACCTCAGCATCCTGTGTCCCATGCACAAAAAATGAGACAAGACAATATGTGCCAACTATAGAGGAATTAGCATTCTTCCCATCGCATATAAAGTGCTATCCAGTGTGCTGTGTGAACGATTGAAGCCAATGGTCAATGACATTATTGGACCATACCAATGCGGCTTCGGACCAGGCAAATTCACCATTAACCATATTTTCATTCTGCGCCAAATCCTGGAAGAGACCCACGAAAAACACATCGACACATACCACCTATTTGTCGACAGCCCTATCCGTTCAGAGGTGTTCGGCATTCCTGCAAAATTAATACGGCTACGCAGGATAACTTTAAGTGGCACAAGGTCAGCAGTTAAAGTCGGAAAGGACCTATCGGTGCCCTTCAATACCGAACCTTCAATTCAGACAAGGTGACAGTTTGTCGTGTGATATTTTTAACATCCTGCTGGAAAAGGTCATATGAGACGCATAGGTGAACAGAAATAACACTCTGTCCACCAAACTACACATGTTACTCGCCTTCGCCGATGACATCGACATAATGGGTCGAACATTACGAGCGGTAGCAGCCACCTTTGAACAAATTGATAAGGAGTCTGCCAAAATTGGTCTGGCAGTAAATAGCGAGAAGACCAAGCTGATGGTATCAACGCGCAAGACGTCCAGTAGACTCGGACCAACTGTGGAACTTGAGAACTACAGCTTCGAGGTAGTTAAAGATTTCATATACCTAGGTACTGCCATAAATAAAACGAATGACATCAGTTTTGAAATCCGAAGAAGGATTGTGATGGCCAATAGATGCTACTATGGTCTAAGTAAGTAGTTTATAAACAAGGCCCGTCAGACCAAACTCGCACTCTACAAGACGCTGATACTACCCGTGCTGTTATATGGATCAGAAGCATGGGTACTTGCGCAAGCAGATGAGGTAGCTCTTGGGGTGTTTGAAAGAAAAATTCTCCGAAAGATCTACGGGACGATCTGCATCGTCAGTGAATATCGGCGTCGAATGAACCGCGAGCTTTACTATTTATACGCAGACATCGACATAGTCAGTCGTATTGAGCTGCAGCGACTACGATGGCTAGGCCATGTTGCGAATGAATGAGAATGACCCAACTCAAAAGGCATATAAAGCGAGCCTACTGATGGTTCCCGTAGAAGGTGAAGGCCACGAATCAGATGGAGAGACCAAGTAGAAAGCAACATCTTGGAACGTGGTCTTTCAAATTGGAGGAGATGCGCACAAGATCGACGAGTTTGGAAATCTTTTTTAAGCTCGGCTTATAGAACAACCGCTCTTTATCAAGCCAGCTAAGTAAGTAAGTAAAAATTTGTATCATAGTAGAGCGGAAAAAAGTCCCTCATCAAGTGAAGGAATCACAACGATCCTTTTCTCCGACCAATTAGCTCTGTGGTGGAAGGGATTGTGGTTCGTTTATCACGATGACATTTATGTAAATTTCATGTTATTTCATAGAGGATGCCTCTTCAGGGTGAAGGTAGGTGAACTTATTTTTAATCATTTCCCTGTAAGACAAGTTTTCTTTAGAGGTCCCTTCTTGGTACGATTTTTTCTTGCGTTCGTACTCCGCAAATGGTTCATTGGTACACGGTAAATGAACGGGAAGGTATAAAGGAAGGATTCGATCAAAAATAACTAGGTGAAAGAGAGTAAAAAGAAGTGACTTCAGCAAAGGCAACGACATAAACGAAAGAAACTGAACTAGTTGCGAACGTTCCTTTTGTGGAATAGTCCCTTTGAACTAGTTCGTTCCGAAACGACCCAACTCTAAAAACTTATTAAAACAGAAGTATGATTTTATCCATCATATAGATTACATCCTGAATAGGGTCATGGATCTTTACATCTGATTTTGGCTCTAGTTCTACCGACTGGTTATCAGGCATGTCATTGCTTACACCTTTTCCGGAAATTCACTACATCAGGTGGAAATGTTATGGTTCGGAGAAAGGAAAATGCTATCCTCTTGTCTGGACATAAGCCCAATTATTTGGGAAGATGGTTCCTAAAGAATTCCTTCTTGTAAATCGATTTACTAAAGGAAGAAAAATTAAAAAAACTTCGTAACTAGATCCGCTGTAGCATTCGATAATATATTTGGATGCCTGGAGATTAATAGAACGAACGAAACTTGCAATAACTCCTAACAATTTTGAACAAAAAATCCGGACTTCAATATCTACTATCTACTTAAGAAATTGACGACTATTTTCCGGAACTTCAATCCCTTCCTTCTATATAAAAAAAATCATGACTATTTTCTATTTAAAAATTTGCTTAACAACAACTTTCAAAAGTTTTCTCCACTCACCTGGCACAAACAATCTTCAAATGGCAGCGATTCAATACCAATCGATTCCATACGCTGTTGCTGTTCCTCATAGAAATATTCCAATTCATACATTGAAATGACACCATCACCATCGATATCCATGCAACGGAACCAATACTCAATGGCGGTTGGCGTGCGTTTATCCTCTTCGGATAGTAGGAACCAAACAAAATCGGAATATGACATTTTTGGTTCATCGTCGGGATTCTTTTTATTATCACTACGTGTAACACAACCCGAAAATATACGTTCCACAATACGTGTAGACAAAGCGTGATCACTGTGCCTTGCCAAATCATCCTGATTGATGAGCAGATCATGATCTTTATCCAATTCCCAGAATTTACAATAGATGACATAGAAATGTTCGTAACTGAAATAGGCCATGATTTGATTGATGTCATCCTCCTCCTCCAAGAGTCCAATGACCTGCAAATAAAAGTAAAACAATTAGTTGTCCTTCTTTTTTGAATTCCATTTTAAACCTACCTCCAACAAATCAGATTTCTTCAATTCGGATATTGTAATCCTACCCGACCAGCTGCGATTTACATTATAAAATATCCGTGCTATGACCGTATGCACATATCTGGAATGGAATTCAGTGGCCTCTTTCAGAAAGGCCAAACCTGGATGTGTATCGACGACATCTTGTACCAAGGGTGCCAAATCTTCGGGTAAGATATAGGAACGCATACGCTGGCCTCGTGATAAAATATAGACAAAACGAGATGCCTCATCGTGGCAATAGACATTCATTCTAAGGGGAGAGAGAACAACCGTTAAAATATGTTGTACAACATCCTGAAATTCTCCCGACTTACTGTTTCCAAAACTCCACAAATCGTTGACGCTCAACCAATCCCGAATTACCCTGCTGACAGAACACCATTACCGGCATACGCCAATAGAATGGCAATCCGCAAATCTTTAAAATACGTGGCAGTTCATCACGAGTCACCTGATTATTGGGAAATGTATCGAATGCTGCCAAAATACCACGCAATGTCCGTTCCAAAGCAATTGTGGGCTGCGGCTTGCCATGGGGGAAATAGAATCTGTGAATGGTAGGGGATTTTTTAGTTTTAGGTTATGATGCAGATATATTGAGATGCAACTTACCTGGGAATATAAACGCTTTTGGTTGATCGAATTTCCCGCTGGAGTGATGTATGATCTGATGGTGGCGGCGGAGGTGTGGCATGTAATTTGGCCTATAAATATAAAAAGTTATATGTTTAATAAAAATTAAATTATATTACATTAAATTTTAGTAAATGAGCGACGAACATCTCCAAGGAAGAATCGTCGATACCCTGGCACTCAACATCCTGGTATGTCGGAAATTCTAATGGAGATAGGAATTATTTTCGATATAATAATATATGTGGACTGCATTATACGTTCCTGAATAATTTGAAAAATCTTACTGAAGCCTAAAATCGCCACCCTCCTTTTTAGTGGCGCCCAACATAACAGCTGAGATCGTTGTTCGGATATTGAATTCATATTTTTGCAATTATTGATTTTAGAATGCAAAATAGGAGTTCTGAGTACGGAAGTTCTCCAAACACCGATAAAAACATTGTTAATGGCGCCCAACAAGCGATTGAATTCAACTGACTGAATTCAAAAATCAATAATTTAAGAAAATACTTAAGATTGAAAACAAAAGCAGGAACCAAAATTTTCCAAATTGGATTACAAATGGCGCCCGACGTACGGTCTATGCATGAGGTTCAAATATTCAGTTTATACATTACTGCAGTGAAAAATTGGAGAGAAGAGCTAAGTCTGAATACTTAAAACTCTAAAGTCATGACCAGTTTTATAAGTCATATCCACCATTACTACCGGTGTACAAAGTGGACCGTAGTGCAAAGTTCAAAAGTGTATTAATGGTTCAGAACGCTATGTTCGAATTCTAGCCGTACTTAACTTGGATTCGAACCAAGCTTCCCAGGGTAACAAAAATTTTGCTAAAATATTTAGCGCTCTGAACCATTACTTCCGAACTTCTGAAACTTGCACAAAATGATGAGTCACTTTACCAATGCTTAATGGTGGGTGCGTAGGTTCTGGCTTTCCTTTTCCTTGCAAGACTTCGACCATAAAGCTCGATTCGAAAGAAAAAAAACTCACTTAAAAAATAAGATATAACTTTGAAATTAAATATTTAAAATGATGTTCTCATTACCGAGGTATAATAATGGCGCCCAACGAGAGATTGAAGTGATAAATTTCTTAAAAAAATGAGAACCGAGACTTGACTCCATACAATGGCCTATCAAATGATTATGACATAACGATGAAGTTTGAGTATAATATATAACAATTGGACTTAAGTTACTTTGAAGTAGAAATCATAGACCCAACTGCTAAAATTGTCCAGGATGAACAAGAAAAGCAGGAATTCGTCCTTAGTCCTATTCAATATTAGAAAGATGATTATGATAAATTAGAAGGACAACACAAAACCAGAGAGGAACCATACCGACACACAAAAAGTTCGCTTGTTGGCAGGCAATTGAATTTAAATATTTAAAATGATGTTCCCAGTATCGAGTCATAATAATGGCGCCCAACGATTTATTGAAGTAATTAATATCTTAAAAATGAATACCTGTACAATTACAACATAACGATGGATTATCCAGGATGTATGGAATGTGTCCTTAGTCTTGTTCAAAATTAGAAACAGGAGGAATTGAAATTAGAGGGACAAGATAGGTAGGTACAACGATATGTTTTAATCGTTCGGTCTGATTAAAACATATCGTTGGAGTTTGAGTATTCGACTTTTGTTTCTTTGAAGTAGAAATCTGAGACCCAAGTGCGAAAATTAGCCAGGATGAATCGAAAACCCCGGAATGCGTACTTTGTCTTATTTAAAAATAAGAAAGATGAGGATTGGAAATGCGAAGGACAACATTAAAAAATGTGAGGAAGCTAGGAGTTTCTTCCTCAGAGGGAAGAAATAGCCCAAGACACAATCACCAACTCCCAATAAGTTCGCTTGTTGGCAGGCAATTGAAGTTAAATATTTAAAATTATGTTCTCAGTACCGGGGCAAAATAATGTCGCACAAGAGTTATTGAAGTAATGACTGGAAGATTACGATTACGATTGAACTTTGGGTTATTAAGATTAACCTCTCAAAATTAGACAACATTAACGAATGACTACAAAGATTAACCCTGGCCTTACCTTTTGGAAAGCGGCGAAGAGGACTAAGGATAAACCTGACCTTCCCTTCCTTTCCCGAAAGAAGCGAAGAGAATTAGTTATCCGAAGGAGCAGTCCAACCAGCGAATGAGGAATGAAGAGTTTTCCATATCTAGTACAACGAGAAACGAATTCAACCCTAAGTCAAAAGAGACTACCTCGAGAATCCTTTAACAGATGGTAATCAAGCTGACGCAAGTATCAAGAAGACGGGTCACGGAATCATTCAGATTATCATGTACCAGAGTGAGACTGCAACAAAAACATCTCTAGATTAAAGCCTAGAAAAATAACCCGGACCTTTGCTCTTCTATCTCGGAAGCCGCGAGGAAAATTGTGTCTGTTGAAGAGCAGATGATAACATTGACCTTCCCTTTCTTCCTCGGAAGCGGCGAAGAACAGTCCATTGGTAAACCTGCGAATGAGAAAATAAAAGTTTTCCATCATCTGACGCAAAAACAGCAAGCCGTCTCAATCCTAAGTCAAAGGAGGCTACCTCCAGAGAATCATTTACCAAGCTGACCCAAGTATCAAGAAGATAGGCTGCGGAATCATCAGTAAAGTTTCTGAACGAGGAAGAAACTCCTAGGTGGAATAATGATGGACCCGAATGAATCCCAAGAATTACGGGAATCGATGAATCCTAAGAAGTACGGGAAGTCAAATAATTGAGACCATTCAGATAAAACTCTTCCAGAGTAAGACGGCAATAATGTCTGTGATGGAAAAATTCCTTAGTCTGTTGAAAACCTACATCTCTAGATTAAAGCACATAAACGAATACCTCTAAGGACAATCCTGTACTTTTTCCTTCTTCCTCGGATGCAGCGAGGAGTATTTGGTCTTTTGAAGAGTAGGAAATTCCTAAACTTACGCTGTCGGCATGTTGAATAAAGAGATCCACATGGAGGTCAAAAAGGCATCTAACAACAAGATCCTGGATCACCTTCGGCAAGAAGAGTATCCATATTTTAAAAAGATGAGATTTAGAAAGGGAGTATCGCAGCGTAGAGATGCCGCAGAGCAGTATATAGTTTGCCACACTACAAACCGATAGGCCTCGGGTTTGAATTCCAGCGGAGGAGGAAACAATCTTTCGCAGTCGTTTCACTTCTTCAAAGGAAATGCATCCGAGGCCCCTGACATTCTAATTACAGGGAATAGCGCCATCCCCGAGGAAAATTGCACCACTAAATAAGCAAGGACATGAACCACTGTAAAAACTCAAAGAGTTGTTGTTTCTATGTAACGATAGGTGGTATAGAAACAAACAGTGGATGTATACAAATTCATTCAAAGTCGTTTTCCCCCTTCGGGAGAAATACAAACGAAGGCAACCTGGCATTCTAAAAACCAGCCTCGGCATCAGCATGTACACATTAGGATAACAAAAAACTAGGATTAAAATGAGATAGCGCCACCCAGAGGAAAATTGCAACACTAACAAAGCAAGGACCTCAACTAAACTCAAGTAGATGTTGATAGGTGGTATAGATGCAAATTCTAATATTAATTTTGATAATTGAACTATTATTAATGACCAAAATTATTGTGAGGGTTTTGAGATAAGGCTAAAGAAGATTAGTTTGAGTGGTTCTTAAAGATAAATATATTTTACAATAAAATCAGAAATTTAAGTAACAACGAAGCGGTAGGTTGGGTTCATTTCCATGTAGTCATTTAATCATTTCGTTCCATAGCTCCTTTTAGTACCATATTTATGTTTACATGTCAGTTTATTCGTCAATGAACGGAGAGATCTGGATGAACGATTTGAACCAAAAGGAACTAGTTCAACGAGATTAAAAATGAACGAATGAAACAAAGGGAACCAGATTAACTAATGAATGAATCTACAAGGTGAATAAACAGATTCATATGAAGGTTGAAGATGCAGTTAACAACAAGACTCTGGACCACCTTCGGCAATAAGGGTACCCACATTTTAATAAGCTACGATGGCATAGAAACAAATTGTAATAATGCGTAAGATTGGTTCATTTCGTTCCATAGTTCTATTTAGTTCAATCTTTAGATATAGATGAACGATTTGAACCAAAAGTATCTAGTTAATCGAGAGCAAAACTAGTTGAACGAAAGAACCGATCATTCCTTTTGTGATATAGTTTCTTTAAACTAAGTCGTTCCGGAACGACTTAACTCTACTGAAGATATAGAACAGAATGCGCAACTCATAAAGTCTTTCGACGAAATTGTAACCTTCTAGAAGTGAAATCTCCTCTCGAAAGAAATACCTGGATGAGTGAAAAATTTCTAAAAAGAAATAATCAAACTCTTAAAGGAGTTTTTGATAAAATATTTCATAAAGGCTATTTATTTTTTTTCGTTATTGAAAAGTCCAACCTTAAATCGTTTCACCCCAATACACACTGCTTTGAAAATACTACGCAAATGAATCAGTTAGTGGAAGATAATAAACAAAATTCGCTTTACCTAATTTTGCAAATGAAATTTGGCAATTATTTAAGGTGAAACAATCGGCATTCTGTGTGTGTATATAGAAGAGGTGCGTGAGCAACACCCACGTGTCAGCTGACACTTCATAACGCAAAAAACAAAACCAATTTCAAAAACTGGATTCATAGAAATTACTCAATAAAGGCAAAAAGCAAGAAACAAAGTAAATAATTAGTTTCAGATTGTAGTTCAGTATTCATTCGATGTTGTTGTTGCAAATCAATGTATTTCTTTGTTTTGTGATGCTATTTGTTGTTGTTGGTGTTCACAAAAAAATTTTGAAATTTAATTGAATTATTTGAAAAGTATGCCAACTATTTGCCTTTGTTATGATGTTGTATGATTGGGGATTATAAATGATGGGCTGACATGATTTTTTTCACCAATAGAATATAAAAGACTGGGATAAGAATAGCTGAAAAGAAGAAGAGAGAATTGAAAATTAAATCGAAATATTCTAGACCATAACTCTATCAGCTCGGACAAAAAGGGAATCTATAAGGACAACACT